TTGTGGTCATGTTTGCAGGTTCTTTTCCAGAATGATTCTCCAGCAAGTTTGCTTGCAAGGGTTATGGGAATCGTAGGAACTATCGACCATGAAATGCTTACCAAGGGACGTGATTCCCACAAGTACTTTACGAAAAACCGAATGCTCTACGAGCGGAATCAGGTGAGAACTCCAAAAACTGCTGCTAATAAGAACAGTTTCTCTAAACGAGTTGCTTTTTTTTTTTGCAGGAAAACAACAGATTGGAGTACCTGATACCTAAAAGAACATCATTGAGACATAGGCTGCCAATGGGAGACCAAGGATTCACAGACTTTGTGGCTCATCTTCTTGAGATAAACCCAAAGAAGCGTCCTTCTGCATCAGAGGCTCTCAAGCACCCCTGGCTTTCATACCCATACGAGCCAATCTCTGCTTAAAACTCCTCAAAACAGGGAGTGAGTTACTTACTTTGGCTTTTAAAAAAAGCGCAGATTAGTGGAAGAACCTTATTATCTTGTGCAAGGTTCAAGCTCCCTTCCGGTGCTTGACCCTTAAATGTATCGTCCTTTGTTACTGTCTTCTTCAGTCAACGAGGTTTGTGTGAGTGCAAAGGTGACATGAAAAGAAGAAAACCTTATTGTGAAATTTGATTAGATCATGTAACACTCTTGTTGTTGTTGTCAAACTTGTGATTATTTTATTCTCTTAGAACAGATTGTAGTAAAACTTTTTTTCTTATTATCTGATGATCATCCTTATTCCTTTTGATTATTATTATTAATGAATGTTGTTTACTTGGATGTTGTTTTCAATTGTTACAACTATGTTTTGAGATAGTTTGGTTACTATGAACGGTTCTATCAATACTTGTTGAATAAAAAGAATTGTTTATTTTCAAGATCCGGATCACAAGGACATACAGGCTACCTTGTAAATGAAGTAACAGTTTCTTTTATCGAGATTTTCAATCTACGAATTAGGTCGGTAACAATGTCTAACATCACTCGTGTGTGGATGAAATGAAATTAGAGGCTACTCGTATAGAAGAAAAGAGAGGTCGCGGTCCACGAAGTTGGCGTTTTCAAACGCTGTTATATAACAGGTCTTTTGTTTCTTTTTATTACCAACGGATTCCTTAAGTGGTAACGAGCGGATAAGAGACGTGAGGTGTGTCTTTGGTAAGACGTGTCTGGTCCGTGAAACAAAGGCAAGGAAGTAGTCCTGTGAGGACATAACACGTGTTTGGTCCGTGATCCTAGAAAGCAACGGCTCTGTTTCTTTCGCGACGTTAACCCGCCGCCTTCAGCAACGTGGTTTTTTGTCGGAATTTTAGACTATTCTATAACTTCGCATATTAGTTAATTTTAAGTTACAAGGATTTAATTACTTGATCATTTAGTATAACTATTTATATCTGATAAGGAGGCCGGTTTAAGTTATTATAGATTTATCTATTATTTCTTCTGTTTTTATATTAAATATCACTTTAGTTTTTAAATTTATTTTTATTATAAATTTCATTTTATATTTTCACTGTATATTTTAAATAAATTTTCTAACTTTAAGCTTATTTTTAATTTATTAATTAAGAAAAGCAAAAAATATATTAAATAAAGATAAAATAGAAAATTTAACAATTATCTTAAACGACGACACTTGAAACGGAGTATACCACAACTTGATTTTGCATAATTAAAGTACCTCTAATCAAATCTTTGAGCTGGTTTGGAGTGAACATGCCTAGATCCGTATTGATTGTGATAGTTTTGTCTTTGTTGTTCTTTAATTTGAAACATGTGGTTAATTCATTTCGTGGCTATCTTTATCTGAAAAGAAAGTCCGAATAAAATCCAAATTGAAATTTGATTTACGAAACGTTTCTCTTTATAATAGCCGCAATCGTCCAAAGCATGACGTGACGTACGAGAGGCATGGATACATAAGCTACGTATTGTTGGATTGATATTCAATTATTGGCATTTTGACTATCGCTTAGTTCTGGTTATTTTGGGTTATAAGCAATTCTTTTTGTTAATCGGAGAGTAACATCAATTTATGGAAAGATTCAGATTAATTTTCAAGATTTTCTCTTTGGATTAAGTCAGGTTATTCGGAATCTCAATCGGCTTTTGATTTTGTCCAATCGAATTTCTTTTTTTCGGGTTTATCAAAATCAGCCCTATTCGGTTTATTTGGAAATTTGGTTTGGGATCAGTTTGAGTTCTAATAAATTCAGGTCGGAGTTAATAAATCTTCAAAAAACCGGAATAACCCATTATACTTTCAGAATCGGGTCTCTAATCGGTTATTTGATTTAAAAGTATCTGATTTGTACTTACTTTATAACCAAAATATAAGTAAAATTGGTTTTTCAGATTTAAAGTACCTGATTTATACTATTTTGTAACGAAAACATAACTAAAATTGATTCAAAAATAAGAAAGAAACATCAAATATGATCATTCAAAATCAAATGAAAGGTAAACATAGTTATTGACATAGTTATTGACAGAAAGAAAACCAAATAATTGAAAGCATAAAACAAAACATAAAACAAAAATCAAGTTCTTAAGAAATGAAAAACATTAATTAAAAAAAACTAAATCTAAATCTAAAATTTCAAGATTCAACCGCCACCTTCAACCAGCAAATTAATGTAACAATAATTGTTTTAGATGTTCAATAATATCTTAAAGTATTACTACATGTTAGAATTAAGATCATGTTCGGTTACACGTTATCTTTTGAAATTTTGAATGTTTCGGTATTTATCGAATATCCATTTAATTTTGGGTTCGGTTTGGATACTACTCATAAACCGAAAACAATAAAATAAGATTCATTCGGTATTTATGTCAGGTACGAATCAGTTATGTCAAGTTCGAATCAGTTCAGATTCACTTTTATCAAATCGGATTTGGTTCGGTTTTCGGGTTTGATTTATTTTGCCCAACCCTATTCTGGATAATAAAAGATTTAGATAGGAAATTTTAGATTCCATTTAAGAATTGAAGAAAATTGGGTTCAATCAGTTTAGATAATTCTTTGTCCTATCATATAATCCTGTCTTGATAATTTTTGTGTATTTCAAATAAAATATTAGATAATTTGAATAAAATATAGGATAATTCGGATGTTTAAATTAAATTCTCCAATATTTGATATTTTGAATCATTCATAATTCTGGGTATTTCAGTTTTAAATATTTTCAAACATTTTAATAATTTATTTATTTTTATATTTAACGACAATAATATTTATATTATATTCATAAATATATTGGTCGTATATGAAATTTGAATATTGAGTTCAGTTTTGGTTAAATTTCAGTTGAGTAGGTTTTCGACATTAGTTGAAATGACTACTACTTGTGGGATTTTAAAAATAATTTTTAGATAAACAATTGTAAGATATGAAGACCAGATTATATAATTTAATTAATTATGAGAGTGAATTCGTTGTTTAATCTTCTCAAAACTTATGGTTTTCATAAATTATTGTGAATTTATATTCAGTTTTTTTAAAATTATTAGAGATATGTTGGGCCGGAAGATGTGTATCTTACGGACCAAGATTGTGAAGCCCATGAAACCCATGAAGATCCTCAAGACTAAAAGGAAAGACTTGAAGAGCAAGTTAATCTCAAGATATTCTTAGCATATTTACATAAGTGTTTAGGAAAGTTAGCATTATCTAGTGTTAACATTATGTTAATGTTACCATTATATATATGCATCTTGTACTCTTATATCAAACACAACACAATAATATATCACATTATATTCTACTTTACATGNTTTACATGGTATCAGAGCATTCGATTTTTAGGGATCAAAATTAAAGCTTCTGCAAGTTTTAAAATTTGATGATGTTTGTCATCGTTGGTGTTGGCGATGTTGAAGAAGAAGGTGATGATACCGACGATGAAGACGCAATAACGTGGTCATGAGTCGTTAGTTTTGGTGTTTTTAGTTAATAATATTAATAGGTTTTGTTTCGTAAGTCAAAAGGGTTTTGTTTTCTTCTCTTTTCTAGTATTGGTTTTGGTTTGGTGAGTGCAAGGTTTATTAAAAGTCGCAGTGGATTTCATGGGTTAGTTAATTGTTTGTGAGATATTCTAAGGTTTAGGATGTCTCAAAGATTGTGTTTTAAGTATTCCATAGTTTGGAATAGTTTGGTTATAGTTTAACCATTACGGGGGAGTTTTTTAGTTATGCTCATGTCTTTAGGTCTTTGTTTTTTTTAAGTCCGTGTTGTGGACTGTCCAAGTCAAGGACAATTGTTTATGGAGCTGCAGTTGCGCCCACGGGATGTATTCCCATTATCAAGACCAAATAAGAGCTGGAGTTTTCATCCCTCCTTGTCTAAGTTAAAGTTTATTGTCGAAGGAATCTACTAATTTGTTTTCCTCGACATAGTGTCCACGACATACGTGGTCTACTTTGTGATTGCAGATTTGCGTGTTGCATCCCACGTTTGTCGTGCGGGGGAGTATTAGAGATATGTTGGGCCGGAAGATGTGTATCTTACGGACCAAGATTGTGAAGCCCATGAAACCCATGAAGATCCTCAAGACTAAAAGGAAAGACTTGAAGAGCAAGTTAATCTCAAGATATTCTTAGCATATTTACATAAGTGTTTAGGAAAGTTAGCATTATCTAGTGTTAACATTATGTTAATGTTACCATTATATATATGCATCTTGTACTCTTATATCAAACACAACACAATAATATATCACATTATATTCTACTTTACATTAGGGGATATAGAAGGTGTGTGTGTATAAAATAGTTTGGAGAGCCTCTTGATCAAGATAGGATTAGATGATAGGACGGTCTTCCTAGTGTAAATTTCTTGAGACAAGGAATAAAAAACACACACACAAATAAAAAAGAACCATTCACGTGTCAATTCTAGAAGAATCCGCTCGTCTCTTCTCATCTATATTACCTTGTTCTCTTGCAATCGCCTCACTTCTCATCTTCTTCATTTTCATCAACCATTATTATTATTATCTAAGCTCTGTTTTCTTTTTAACAAACAGAGGAACCTCTAAATTTGGATTTTCCCATTCAAACCTTTTCTCATTTCTCTAATTTTAGAACAAGAAAAAAAAAACAAACAAAAAGTTTTGTCCCTTTTCTTACATCCATTTTCCTTAACGTTTATGATCTGTTCAAGCAAAGGAACGATCTTAACACACAGAGGAAAACATTCAACCTTTAGATTATCTCCCAAAAACCAACTTCGAATTAACAATAATCTTCCGATCACACCTGTCACAACATTCCTACGATCATCATCAATGGCGGTGGAAACAATGTCAAATCCATCACCTCTCCTTCTAACCTCAGGAGCAAGCGGTCGCGTAAGAGCCCTCTTCTCCACGCGAGAGCTCAAGCGTCTCTTCACCATCATCCACTCCCTCATCCTCTTCATCCTCCTCCCGTTCCGCGTCGTCGTCTGGCGGCGGAGGACCGGGGCGGTGGTTATTAGAGACGAGAAACAGGAGAGGAAGGTCTGGTCGCCGACGCAGATCGTGGTGAGGAAGAGGAGCGTTGGAGGAGAGAGCGGATGCTGCAGCGTTGCGCCTCCGTCGGTTCCGGCGGCGGTTGTGGATGAGGAGGTTGCGGTTAGGAGGGAGCTTGCGGTGAGGAGGGTGGCGGAGGATGAAGGCGGAGATGGAAGCTCGGTGAGGGAGTTTTCGCTTTTTATGACGAGGAGAGGTGATACGTTGTTTACTCAGTCGTGGTCACCTGTTTCGTCACATCACAGGTCGTTTTCTCGTTTAACGTTTCTTCATTTTTTTATTTCTGTTTAATCCGTAAATTAATCATTTTTTATAATCGGTTATTGATCACTGTTAGGATCTTAACGGCCCATAACTTACAATCACGTAAATGTTTAAGGACATATGTGTTTTTTTTTCATACATGTATGTGTTTGTGTTCTAAGATTTTGTATCTGTTGTTCTGTTTATGTCAGGTGGTCCTGTTTCATGTCTTGGCTTGTAGGCTTGTGTGTTTTAATGTTGTAGCTAGATATTATTCCTTTTTAACTCCTAGATTTGATTCGTTTGCTTAATCAAAGGGGTAGTAACTTGTTGTTGAACTAATATAAGAAATGCGGATGCAGTATCAGGATTAGCTTAGTTGGTAAGCATTTCTCAAGATTCATTTAAGAGAATATCAAAAAAAAAAAAAAGGATTAGCTGGAGAAATGTATATTATTATAGACAACAGAAGACTTTGTCAATAGTAACCTCTACACGGCAACCACTATCACTTTCTAAATGGTTTTGAATCTGTCATGTTTCTAATTTGTTAGCTAACCAGCTGAGTTGTGTTCTTATGGAAGTTGATGAAATTGTTAAACTTTTTATCATTTTTCTCTGGTTTCTTATCTTTATCAATATATATTTTTGCAGGGGGCTTGTTGTTCTGCTACATGGATTAAATGAGCATAGGTTTGAACATAATTTTGTTTAGCTATGCTTCGTTTGCTTTGAATATAGTTATTTTGTTCGGCAGATGAAAGCTTAACATTAAGTTATCTTTTTCCAAAATTTGACAGTGGGAGGTATAGTGGTTTTGCAAAGCAGCTAAATGCTAATGGGTTCAAGGTGTATGGAATCGATTGGATTGGTAATCTCCACTTCTCTTTCACTTCTCTTTCACTTCTTGTTAGCATTTTGGTATACATCTTATAGCTAAATGAGCTTTCATAGAGTGTAGGCATTTTACGTATTCTATCCTCTTGTTTAGTTAGTCTGCTGGGTCAAAATGAGTCTATGTTCCTCGCACAGAAACCTTTTAAATACGGTTCCTGGTGGTATCTAAGGTGTTGGGCTATAGTTTTTAGTCTTGATGATGAAACATTTGGTTGGGTCATTTGAAACATGTTCTAGGATGGATACAAGTGAACCTTGGTACCTTTTAAAATCCGGAAACATGAGCGTTTTTCAGTACTGCTGTTTCATAGGCTAGAAATACAGATTCTTCAACCATGCCATCTCTGTGTTTGGATGTCGCAGGAAAAATATTGATTTTGTGTTGGGGGTGGTGTTTAATTCGTGTGCAAAGGTGACACATGAACCTCATCTTTAGCTTAACAATGCCAATAACTAAGGGACTAATTTATGATTTATTTATATCTGCAAACAGTTTGAATTGATACATCAATGTAATCTTCCAAAGCCATTTATTTGACTGTGTTTTGGGTTTGATCTAACAGGTCATGGTGGAAGCGATGGACTTCATGCTTATGTCCCTTCCCTTGACTACGCTGTTGAAGATTTGGTATCTATCTCTCCCTCTATAGTTATAGTTTCTAAAAAACACTGTTGCTGAAACATAACTCACACCATCATCATCATTGTCATCTTTGCAGAAATCATTTCTTGACAAGGTTTTCGCGGAGAATCCAGAACTCCCCTGTTTCTGCATTGGACACTCAACAGGAGGAGCAATCATCCTCAAGGTAACAGCTCTAGACCCATTAAACACCATCATATCATGTAATGCGCGTCTACAAAGTCCCAAAACAGTGTTAAAACAATCAAGTGCAGGCTATGCTAGATCCAAAGATCGAGTCTCGAGTTTCAGGCATTGTACTGACTTCACCTGCTGTTGGAGTCCAACCATCCCATCCAATCTTCACTGTAAGTTAATCCAAAAGAGTCATATAGTTTTACAAACTTCATATAAACTTTAACAAGTTTTTGTCTTTTAGGTTCTTGCACCAATCGTTGCGTTCCTCTTGCCAAGGTACCAATTCAGTGCAGCAAACAAGAAAGGAATGCCAGTTTCTCGTGATCCACAAGCTCTTGTCACCAAATACTCTGACCCATTAGTATTCACCGGATCCATCCGGGTTAAAACCGGCTATGAGATCCTTAGAATCGCTGCTCACTTGCAACAAAACCTAAACAAAGTTAAAGTCCCTTTTCTTGTCATGCACGGTACAGCTGACACTGTGACTGATCCCAATGCCTCTAAGAGGCTATACGAGGAAGCTTCTTCTCCAGACAAATCAATCAAGCTCTTCGACGGGTTATTACATGATCTTCTCTTCGAACCTGAGAGAGAAATCATCGCTGGTGCCATATTAGATTGGCTAAACCAGCGGGTTTAAAGTTCTTCCATAACCAGCTATTACTATCATGTCTAATCAAGTTTAATTTCTTGATTTTGATAAAAGAATAAATATATTTTTGAGGAAGTTTCTGAGTAAATTAACTGAGAATCGTGAGGAAGAAATACTTTTAAAGAGTTCTTGGTTGATTTAGCTACTACTTGATTGGTTTTTGTCAACTCAAGAAATGTGAAGAAGACAAAGGAGACTTTGACTCTCTTGCAGTTCATTAGTCTCTTTAGAACGTTTTGACTCCGGTGTATTGTCTATGTAACCTTGGATTTTAATATTTTTATCTATGTTGATGGAAATCTACTGCCTGTTTCGAATGTTTCTGCTTGTAAATAATGATGTTTTGTTGTGTGTGAATTCAGTATTTTTTAGCCCATCATTTAACTATTTTAAAAATAATTAGCTACTTCTACAATTTTTAAATTAATAGAAACTTAGATAACAAATGTAACTAATTTTTTTTTTAAGTTTACGATGCATCATTATTAAGTAACATAAATATATAAAGATAACTTTTTGAAACTTTTTGTTTTCTTTTTAAATGGATGAAGTATATATTCGTTTGCAGTAGTAACCTAAGAAACATAATCAAAGTGGAAGAACACAGTTTTTGAAACAATTTTAAAAAGATTATAAAAATAGATGGTGTCCACTAACGGCCGTTCCAGGCTCGAAGTTTGGAAAAATTGTCAGTTGAATCATCATTTTTAAATTTGGTTGAAATAAAATATCCTATTGTTAATAAAAAAAACTCAATTTTAATCATAAATTTTTATTGATCATACTATTTTAGCCTATTTGTTAGCCAACTAAATCTAAAATGATTTTTAAAATTGATATTTTTGTTAAAATTATAAATCAACATTTTTTTAAAAATACTAGATTTTAAATATTAAAAATATACTTTAATAACTATAATACTAATCAATAAAATTGTAAAATAAGAAAGAATTCAAACCAAAAATTTAAAGTTTTAAATTTATCAAATATTTACTAAATATTTATATAAGAAAAACTTATATAAATATTTACTAAATAAATATTTATTAAACTAATGATATTTAAAAAAAAACTAATGATATATTAATTAGATGTTTTAGAATATAAATGAAAATTATATACATTTAGATTGAATAAAAAAAAGAAAACGTTGTATTTTATTTATTCAATATTTATATTTATATTTTTATTTATTCAATAAAAAGAAATATCTAAGTAAATTAACTGAGAATCGTGAGGAAGAAAGATTATTAAATAGTTCTTGGTTGATTTAGCTACTTCTTGATTGGTTTTTGTCAACTCAAGAAATGTGAAGAAGACAAAGGAGACTTTGACTCTCTTGTAGTTCATTAGTCTCTTTAGAACATTTTGACCTCGGTGTATTGTTTATGTAACCTCGGATTTTAATATTTTTATCTATGTTGATGAAAATCTACTCCCCGTTTCGAATGTTTCTGCTTGTAAATAATGATGTTTTGTTGTGTGTGAATTCAGTAATTTTTTAGCCCATGAACAAGAAAAAAACTATCATTTAACTATTTTTTAAAAAATAATGATATATTAACTAGATGTTTTAGAATATAAATGTAAATTATATACATTTAATTTGAATAAAATAGAAAATTTTATATTTTATTTATTCAATATTTATATTTATTTATTTAATAAAAAAAAAGAAATTTCTGAGTAAATTAGCAGAGAATCGTGAGGAAGAAAGACTTTTAAAGAGTTCTTGGTTGATTTAGCTACTTCTTGATTGGTTTTTGTCAACTCAAGAAATGTGAAGAAGACAAAGGAAACTTTGACTCCCTTCCAATTTATTAGTCTCTTTAGAACGTTTTGACTCCGATGTATTGTTTTTGAATCTCGTATTTTAATATTTTTATCTATGTTGATGGAAATCTACTTTCTGTTTCGAATGTTTCTGTCTGTAAATAATGATGTTTTGTTGTGTGTGAATTCAGTATTTTTTTAGCCCGTGAACAAGAAAAAACTATTATTTAACTATTTTAAAAAGTCTCTTCGGGGACATCTGATAAAATTGAAACGATATAAAGAAAATTAGTATGGTTCCTGCGCAAGGATGACATGCACAAATAAAGAAATTGTCCAAATTTTTTCTTTTCAAAAAACAAAACTATTTTAAAATAATTAACTACTTCTACAATTTTCAATTAATAGAAACTTAAATAACAAATGTAAATAACTTTTTTGAAGTTTACGATGCATCATTATTAAGTGACATAAATATATAAAGATATAACCTTTTGAAACTTTTTGTTTTCTTTTTAAATGGATGAAGTATATATTCGTTTGCGATAGTAACCTAGAAACATATCTTACCAAAAAAAAAGTAACCTAGAAACATAATCAAAGTGGAGGAAGACAGATTTTGAAACAATTTTAAAAAAGATTATAAAAAACAGATGAAGTATAGGAAAATTGTCTTTGGTTGAAATAAAATATCATGTTCTTAATCAAAAACACTCAATTTTCAATTATAAATTTTCATTGATCATACTAATTTAGTCCATTTGTTAGTCAACTAGACCTAAAATAGTTTTCAAAGTTGATGATTTTTGGTAAAATTATAAATCAACACTTCTTAAAAATACTGAATTTGAAATATTGAAAATATACTTTAATAACTATAATACTAATAAATAGAATTATAAAATAAGAAAGAATTCAAACCAAAAATATAAAGTTTTAAATTTGATCAAAGTAAAATTTTCTGTAATTTTCATTTATATTATAAATTAGTTAGTTATTATATCATTAATTGAGTATTAGTTATGAAATGATTATGAAAACTTATATAACTATTTAATAAATAAATAATTATGAAACTAATGATATATTAACTAAATGTTTTAGAATATAAATGAAAATTATATATAAATTTTATTTGCATAAAATAAGGAAATTTTATATTTTATTTATTCAATATTTAAATTTATAAAATGTTAGAGTTACTAGTCAATTTATTCTAATATTTAACATATAATTTCTTGAAAATTTGTTGATTTATATTTTTACTACAAAATATCAATTTTACAAATTATTTTAGGTCTATCGTTAATTAACTATAATTAATAACTAGTGATATTAAAATAAGATGATCTATAAAAATTATAATTAAATTGGTTTGTTTAACAAAAATTGGTGTTTCTTTAATCTATCAGAAAATTAGTGTTTTCATTTAACCAAATGTAAACGTTGATAGATTTAAATGACATTTAAGTATATATCTGTTTGCAGCAACATGGAAACATAATCGAAGTGGAGGAAGAAAGGGAAAATAAGAAATAATATTACTCTAGGACAATTTATAGTTTATTATATCACAAAAAGACAGTTTTCACTACTCAGACAGTTTTCATTAACTATTTTTGCTAACTAAAACTAATTAGTTCCTCTTTAACTAAATAATAAACCAACTAAAAAAATATAAAATAAAATTTTTAATTAAAAGACAAAATAAAATAGGTCCCACGTATCTTCTTCTTCGTTTTTCCTTCTTGCATCTTTTATTCTTCCTTTTGTTAAATGAATTTTAATTTTCCAGAACATTATTTCCAGAAAATATGTTCATAATCAATATCTTTATTATCCAATATATCTTTTAAGATGTGTCAAGCTATATATCTGATGGTGATAAAATCATGATGTATAAAACCTACCCCTCTTAATGGATACACCTCTGCGTCAAACTTTAAGAAGAGATTCAAAGTTGTGGAACTGATTCTAAAGCTCCGGAGTTGTCGTCGCCGTGCCATTTCTTTTGTCATATTCACCATTTGTGAGAAGCTTGATAGCAACAAAGACCAACTTTGAAATTTGATGTTTGTCAGATCTTTTAAGTTTATACCTCTCGTAAAATTTTGATCTTGAACAAAGTTTCTTTGGCTGTTTGGTATATTAACACACTTCTCTTAAAAATAATTACGACATGAGCAGCTTGAGAACAACAATGGCCAAGTTTCTATTTTTTGCACATTTGGTCCTTCAATTTTTTTTATTTTTGTTTTCAGATTTTCGTATTTGTAGAAATAACCACGTAGATGTGTACATAATGTTAGTGTACACATGTACATGTTAAAAACGTGGTTTATGTGAATTAAAAAACATGGTTATATATGTACATGTGTACATGATTACATGGTGGACCTAAGTTTTTAACAAACATTTGTGTATAATATTTAGTTTGGATTTTCCAATAATCCCAATGATGTAGTATACAAATATTATCAATTTTGAATGCTAACAATGAAAAATTACATGGGAAATGATTTTTATGTTATTCAATATACGTTCACTTTTTATCACTTTTTTCTTAATTTTGTATCTTAGTCTCTGTGGATAATACATTATGTGTACACTTTGAAATTTTTGCATATTCATGTGTTCTACTTTAATAATAACTATTGTACATATGTGATGAGTGTACATTGTTTTAATAATAAAGAGTATATACATATGAAGATGTACATATGTACACATATAATTGTATACACGTACATGATATGTGTATACATGATTTTGTATTTTATTCATATCTAATGATTTTTAGTTTTGCTTTTAGTTCATTTAATTTATTTTCCAATGCATTTAAGAATTAATTATGTGCATATATTGTCAAATTTCATTAACAGAGAGTTCTAGTACCTAGTTGGTTAATTTTGAGCATAATCAAAGATACAATTGATTTTGGGCATGACAATATGTCTACACATTATTTTGTGTGTTATGTATACACTAATGATTTTGGCTTTGATACACATGTACACTAGAAACTTTGAACGTACACATGTACACTATCAACCTTGAACGTACACATGTACACTAACGGTTGTACATATCCTTTTTTTTTAATAAGTGGCATTTTAGTAAATATGTCATCGTTTTTCTCAGAATTTTAGGGTTTTCTGCAACATTTTGTTTTGCGGCCGCCATTATTTTTTTTCATAATCTTGCATTCTTTTAAGTTTTAATTGTAAAATACACTTTAAAATAGTAGTTTTAAACTTTTTCTAAATTGCTTTTGAACTTCAGATTTAAAAAAAAAAAGAATTGTTGTGAGATTTAACCAAAGTTCTTCAAGCTTCATTTTCGTAACTGAAACATGGCTGCCGCGGTGGATTTCAGATATCACAACCACCACGAGTTATTGTCACGGCACAAAGAAGATTAATTGAAGAATATGTAGTAAATGAAGAATCCGTTTGTGTAAGATTTTTTGGTGGAGGAAATCGAGCTTGACTGAAGTTTTTTGGTAGTCACGAATGAGAATCAAAAAAACATTGAAGAGATCTGAAGAATAAGTTTTTTGATTTTAAAAGCGTCATTTTCATCAGGTTCTACACACTTTATATTTTAAAATAATAGAAACATGTAACTAGAAAGGTAAAAGCCATTTCTCTATTTTACCCCACAAGTTAGCTATTTTTCAAGGACAAGTTAAGACTTTTCACACATAAACTACCTTAGTAGTTGAAACTGCCTTATTTTGATATTAAAACACGTAAACTGTCTTAGGATGATAAAAACTCGGAAAATAAACCCAAACTAGGATAAGACCCGCGCCTTGTGCGGGATGAAGTTATTATTTTTATTATGTTTTGAAAAATGAAACAATAGTTCGGTTTCATTCGGATTACAGGTGTTTAATCCGGATATCGGGTTTCGGTTCGGCTCGATTTTTTGGTATTTTGATTATTAAAATATAACTACTATTCTAATTCTATATGTACTTGAGTTTGATTTGATTTATATACCATCGGTTTTCAGTTTATTCAATTTTATACCAAAAAACATAATTATTTAGTTTGAAATCATATTATATATTATACATATATATAATATGATCATATTTTGAGTCATATTGTCACAGAGTCATTTATTAAAAAAATATTATATATTTGAATAAAAGAATAAAAAACAAAAAGCCTTCTATCATCTAATAAAATGATCAAATCTAGAATTAATATCAAAACACTAAATTTTGAAAATAAAAATAAAAACAAAACAGAAGCATGAAAGAAAAGTTTTTATATTCTTCCATATTTAGTGTTCATCAAACCAATATGTTTTCGATTGAACACAACTCTGTTTGTTTAAAGATAAAAAAAAGTTGTAAAGAATTTCAACTAATTGTTTTCCATCAAATTTATAATCTTTACTTCAATTTAGTTACTATTAAAAAAGCAAAAGATCAAAATAAGAAGTCTCAGTTGTAATAAATTTTTAGCTATTTACAAATTATAATTATAGTTCAACTCATGTAACAAATAGATATTCATGCGTCGTTATAATATATACATATTTACATGTTTCAGTTTAATCGGTTATAAATCAAACCATATCCAAATCCTATGGTTTTTATAAAATCACATCCATTCGGTTTGTATGGTATATACCAAAAATAACCATATTATTGATTGTTAATATCTTTTAAAAATATAAAATTAAAAAAAGAACTAAGATATTTAAATCATTGATAACAAAAAATTTCAATGTGAAAAATTTAATAAGTTTATAATTTATAAATGTTCTTGAAAATTTATTGAAAATTTTGAAATTAAAATATTTATGTAATCTTATATGGTATATAGTTTAATTTGTATATATATTTGTTTTATTATTAAATGATACTTTTTACTTATATGCTTTTAAAATCATGTATATCTTTTTTATAATAAAAATGTTAAACTATTGATCATTAATTTTTAACATAATAATTTTAATAGTTTAGTTATTTATTCTCGTTTTTTAAAATTCAAAATATGACCTATACGAAAAATCTAAAATTTAATTTTATAGCTAATTTGATTGTTTAATTTATTTTAATAATAGAAAATTAAAGAAAAATAATGGAGGATATATAAAATGTTATCAAATATTTATTATTAGAATCATTAAGTGCATATATATATATTAGTCATTTATGGTAATTCCGTAGGTTTTATTTATGGAAAGAAAATAAAATAGTAATTATATCTATGGGAACAATCATAAATGCCTCTATCATAAATATCATATCATATTATTATATCATATAATTTGTCCAACGAATGTATCTAACGAAATATAAAAATCGAATGTGGACGTACTTATTTTTCAATTGAATGTAATTGACTACCTAATTGAGTGACATCTAAGCATGAGATTTTTTTTAATTATTACAAAATTGAGGTTACAATTTTTTAAATGTTTGTTCTTTAATATATAAGGGATGTTTAAACAAAGTTGGAATTGAAATCTTGTTCACATAGAAACAAATATGTCAAGAGTCACAAGTCAAGGGGGTGGTGACTCTTTCTTTTGTCACACTCAAGTGACACCTATGGGTTTTTCTCATTTCGTGAATCATCAATGCTAACGTAAGGCAGTGCGTCATAAGAAGCAAACAAAACAAGACAAAATTAATAGAGTTGTTGTTATCATCATCATCATCAACTCTTCCACTAGCTACTGTGACCTCCGAATCTTCGACGAACATCATCCAGACAGAGATTTACTTCAAGCCTATTGGAAATTTGATAGTATTGTTTTTTCCTACCAAAAGTGGCTACTAGATATTTTAATTTTGGTTGCAACTTGAAATTTAAACTTCGACTGCGCAGCCCTTATCTTTATTTTAGAACGTGCTTTGTTACATTTTCCCCACAAAAAGGCAGCCAAAATTATTATTACAATAATTTAAAGGGATTCTATTATGATTGTTGTGCTATGAAAAGATAAGTGACTCCAGCGGACATAAAACAAATGTTCTAAAATTTATTATAGACGTTTAAGCGTCCATCTAGACGATAAAACGGTAAAAAGTAAACCAAACTTTTTTGTTTGACACTCGTAAAACAAATAGTTTAGAAAAAAAACAGACAGATCGTGTACCTAGATAATAATCTTTAACACATCTAACGATTTTTGAACATTTCATAAAGCTTGGTGATTCGCCAAGAAACAACACTGTACGTACAATAGATATAAGATGCTGATTATTTTACTCGCTTATTTTCTCTGTGGTTTAATAAAATATATCTGCACTCGTCTGATTGGGTTTAGGTTCTGTCGATATCATATTTTATATAAAGAGTATATAAATAACACTAGAATTTGAATAAGTGAATAATAGATTATCAGGATCTTAAAAAAAAAGATTATCAGGATCTAATGTACATTATTGATTGTTACACATGAATGAAACTGAAAAGAAAAACAAAATAAAAGATTGAAGAATAGTTCTATCATTGACAAGTTACTATGCCAATGTTAAGGTTTTTACAAAGCCCCTAATTCCATATCCGGAGTATATATTATGTACAAAAATTACGAACATAATACCTCCAGAAACTAATCGAAATTTCTACTCACACAAAAAAAAAAATTCGAGTTTTAATTTATACAAAAGGTATATCAAAGTTCCTCCCGGAGAAAAGGATGGGCAAGAAGCTGCGACGCCGTCCATCTCTTACTCGAATCTTTACGTAGACAACACTCAACAAAGCTCCTAAACTCTTCCGAACACCCCTCCGGCGCTCGCGGCGGTTCTCCAAAACACACCGCACACATCAACGTAGCCCAGTCTGGTCTCTGTCCCGGCGGTAATAACGGAAAATGCCCAACTAAAAGCTCCAACATCATCAACCCGAAACTCCATACATCTCCGGCGTACACGTCGGAGCTTCCACCGGAAGATTCAGAATCAAACCTCTCCGGACTCATATAAGCGCAAGTGCCGACATAAGAGTTGCAAGAATCCAACGACCGGACCAAGATCTTGCTCACTCCAAAGTCAGCGATCTTAACCTCGTCCTTGGAGTTGAGGAGGAGATTCGCCGGTTTAATGTCTCTGTGTACGATCTTGAGAGCGTGCAAGTAACTCAACCCTTTCAAGATCTGTCTCGCGAACCCCGCGAGGCGTTTCTCCGTCACGCCGCCGCGGAGAGACTCTAACGTTCCGCCGTCCATGTACTCCATCAGAATCGATACTTCTCCGACGACTGGCTTCTCGAAGATTCCGTGGCACCGGACCACGTACGGTGAGTCCGTACGGCGGAGGATCTCCATCTCTCGCATCAGTTGTCGTGTTAAGATCGGATCCGTGTCGCCGTTAACCGTTTTGAGAGCGTAGAGGTCCGTCGTGTTCTTGTGACGGACTTTGTAGACGGTTCCGCTGTTTCCGCATCCGAGAACGTTGAGTTTCTCGAGATCAGCGGCGGAGATGTCACCGGAGGTAGCGACGGTGGTGACGGAGGGGATGGAGAAGCGGCGGTCGGAGATCGGAGGAAGGGGGAGACGGAGATTGAGCTGACGACGTTCTCTTACCAAAGCCATAGAAAGTAAGAAGACTTGATCTGATGTAAGAAGAAGATAAAGAGAGAAGGTTTAGGTTTTATATGAGTTTGAGAGTTGTTGTTTAGACAAGAGTGGGAAGGAGACAACGTGGAAGGTCAAGATGACCTAATTACCCCTTTTTAATTTCTTATTTAATTTCTTCTTATCTTAAAATGGCAATCTCTTTTTTCTTGTTGTCGTTAAAAATGCAACTTGTGCGAGTGTTTGAGTACGCACGTGGTTAAATGCATCTGTAATGGATTTGTCCAATTTATTTCATGGAAAATAACTAATCCTGTATATAGTCCCTCCTAGTAATCATTATTTGTAAAGTACTACTAACCGATAATGTAAGCAAAGTAACGGTAATCCCTTTAAAACGATAAGGTATCTAAAAAGTTATTGGTATTGATGTATTTGGGCGGCGTTACATTGTATTAAAACTTGTAGAAGTCGTATTAATCTAGAGATTTGTTTAGTATTTCATTCTTTTACACCAGAAAGAAAGTTTGAGGTTAAGTGTTGGAAAATTAGATTTTTACAAAGTAGTGAAAAATATACAAATATTTTTAACAGGTTTAATTAAAACCAAAACTATTATGTAAAACAATTTTATAATTAAAGTGCCAACAAAATTATGAAACGTTTATCTTAATATATCAAATATAATTGAAGACTATAGAATTGTGTAATATAATTTTTAATAAAAATAATAAACCAGTTTTTAAAAAGTTACTTAATGCATGTAAATGTTCCTAATTTCTTATTCTTTTGGAATAGTCTTTTTCTTTACTTTTTTTTTCTTTTTTTTGCCATTGGATATTTGACCGAGCAAATATATGTCTTAATAATTTTTTTCCCTTCAACTACTATCTAAATTAGATTTGATTTTTTATGCTTTAAAAAATATGAAGTATGTAGTTTTTTGGAAAACAAATAAGACAAGAAAGAACTGTAGAAAATATAATTATTGATCGTTTTGTTTATTATTCTTTTTATTATTTATAAACATCAACGATTGTTTTAATAAATTATAGTTTTAACAACATGACTCTTTAAAATTCATATAATATGAAACTAAATAATAATGTTTTTGGGTATAAACCAAATAACCGAAAATCGATAGTATAAAAATCGAATATACTAAATTAAATATGGATCTAATGTAATACCTTAGACCATTAGCACTAATAAAATGATATGATACTTTTTTCTTGCCAACTACTATAAACGGTTACTTTACGATCACGGAAAATGGAAAATACTTTCTAACTTTTTTTGGTGTGAAGGTTCGATGAACCAAGGAGGCTAAATGACAATGAACATAAATAATGACTAGTGAGGTATGAGAACGACTAAAGAGCACTAGCATTTTGTACGCCAACGTGGAAAAGTTTGTAGCCCGCATCGTTTTAATTAGTTTCTCTGGCCATCGCATTCACATGTTGCCTAATTGAACTTCGGATAAGATCCTCATAACTGACATAAGACATCACAGGGTTTATATGTATGTGTGTATGCTTTTGCATATGTCATATGTGCAATTGTGCGCAGTGCACATGCATAGATATATATTGCTTTATTATGTGTGGGTGGTTATGTTTTGCTTGCTAAATGCTAATATTGTAATTATAAACAACGTAGAGAATTCTGCTAAACAAATGTCGAAAGGAAACTAATCGAAAACGAAATCTATAATAGTTTCCACCAAATCTATGTTTAGAATAATAATAGATACTGGTAGTTAACCTAAATAAAACTCATTCAAACATTGAAATGTTTATATATATAAGATGAAAAATAAATAAGTTGGACAGAAAGAGAAAACAGGAATGGCGGAGATCCTGCCATTATAATTTGTTAATTCTTGGCGTCTTTCAGCTGTGTTATGTGTATTTAATATGCACATTCATGCTTATTGTTGTTGTTAGTTTGATATTAATTCCTCTAAGTAACTAAGTAACTATTAGACATCAATACCACCCATGTCGACACATATATCGTTTGGTAAGGTGCGCGCTTTAGTAAAGTGGTTCATAAGATATGCTACCAACAACACAATGTATCTCCAAGCCCGGTGTGTGTTTGAAGAACGACCTAGAAAGAAAGAGAAAAGAGTTACACGCATCGATCTCGTGTTGAGACAAGTCTCCATGGGTGCAGTGACATTGCTGATAGTCTCTAGATACTTTGTCGAAGGTAACGAGGGTGTTCATCTTGGGTCATAGCATATCATCAGCCCGGTCTGATCGAATATCTAGCATGTCCACTTTACCAACTTTTTTTTTTCTGTTGGATGGGTTACTATGAAGGAGATCTTATGAAACTGATTACATTTGTTTAGAAAGATATAGATCCATTTTGTATCTGGCTTGGGTTGTCTAAAATAATATTACTTAAGACTATTTCCCTTACGGAAAACATCGTGGGAGTTAAGTTGACCAACGAGTCCACTGTATAATCTTAGAACTAGATTGAAAAATTGTACATGAATACAATAAGAAAACAGAAACATAAAAACAGCTACCAAGTAGGGTGGGCAAAAAAACCGAAACCCAAAAATCCGAACCGAACCCGATCCGATAAAAAGGAATCCGAACAGATCCGAACCCGACATAAATACCGAATGGATCTTCTTTTACGGTATTTCGGGTTATGGGTTTTATCCGAACCGAACCTGGACTTAAATGGATATCCGAACGAATCCGAAACTTTAAAATTCTAAAAAAACTTATATCATACTTAATCTAAATTTATAATATGTTTCCAAAACATATTAATATATTATTGAATACCTATAATAATTAGTTATTATATGAATAATTAACTCAAATATTTAGTCTAATATATAGTGTTATTTGGCTGTTACTAATGTTTATGATTGACACTACATTTGAAGTTAAGTTACTAATAAATTTGTTTTGAAGTTTAAATAACGTTGTTTTTTAAATTTTGAATATTACTTCTTACGTTTATGTAATTGTTAGTTGTTAATTTTAACTTTTTATGTTTCATTATGTATGATTTTCGTTCATACACGACTTTGGTTTATTATTAATAATGATATATTTAGTGTTGTCACATATAGTTCAATGACAAATCTTATATTGTTGATAGATGAGTTTCATAATATTATTTAGAAGCAGAACAACACGGTTTGTAGAAGCTAAATACACAATTTAATAAAAAAAAAATTGAAAATATAGTGAACTTAATTGAGTATAAATTAGTACTTTTAGAATCGATAACCCAATAAGTATCCGAAACCGAAACTATTTCGGGTTCAATTGGATTTTGGACATGTTACTAAATCCGAACCGAACCCGATTAAACCCGAACCGAATCCGACCCGAATTTTTATAATATCCGAATGGGGCTGAAATTCATGAACCCGAAAACTCGAAACCCGAATGAACCCGAACCGAAACCCGATTGGGACCCCGAATGCCCAACCCTACTACCAAGTGCGAAAGGTGCGAGGTTTAGTCTGAGATCTGTTGAAATCTGGTCTGGGTTTAGCTCTTTGAATATCGGATTTGGGTTTAGCTTCCTCCACGAATATAACTCTTCCATCCAAAAACTGTAAACAAACCCAAACTAGAGTCTTTAACCAAACCAAACACTTTTTTGTTTAAAAATTAAAGAGAAACGCGTGTGTGTGTGTGTGTGAGATGTCGAGGAGAGTTACCTTTCCGTGCATCCCTTGAATAGCTCTCATAGACTCCTCCTCAGTCTCATACCTCAGGAAAGCAAACCCTCTTGGTCTATTTGCTACTTTATCCATCACCAAGTTAACTACACACGAAGAAACAAGAGGTTCATTAAACAGACACACTAAATTAAAATAGATGTGCGAGAAATTTAAACAAGGGAGAGGTAATGAGTAGTTACCAAGTGTAAGCTTGCCAAACTGTTCAAAAGCATTTCTCAACTTATCTTCAGTTGTACGGAAAGAAAGCCCTGTCCAAAAACACAACAGCACCCCCATTTCATTACAAAAGCAGAGACAAACGGTTGCTGAAAGCTAACATGTAAAACCATAAACAGAGCATTAACATCCGCAAATCTAATTCACCATCTATTTAACTTGCACCAATCCCTAAAGACATATAGGTTGCGTGCTGCCACAAACAGAACAGTTTATGAGATAGACACCAACCAAAACTATTACTTTGCCTTCTACAACAAACCCGACATTGTCTTCAGTACAAGCCATCACGTATAGGCGCATGTATTTATAATTTCTACTACAGAAGTGTCGTTTATGAATTTAAGGTTAAGAATTGAAAACAGAAACAGAAAACTGAAAAAAAAAAGACAGAGAGAAAGAGAGAGAGAAAGGAAGAGAGCTTACCACTCACATAGAGTTTCGTCTTCGGACCGGAGATAGAAGACGGTGGAGATGAAGAATCCGGCGGAGAGAGACAACCAGAAACTAATAATCCACCGACGTCGTGGCGTCTGCGAGCTGAATTCACGACGGTTCCGACATTGATTCGTCCGCGCCAGCAACGGAAATAGGCAGACGAAGAGGAAACTGAGAAGTTAGGTCTTGAGAATCGATCTCCAGAACACGACGGGACAACGACTATCCCTAAGCTACTCGCCATTGTTTCTTCTTCTTCTTCGCTGGATCCTAATATCCTATCGCAAACGCTCAACACTGTTGAGGGTCAAATTGGTACTTTCATTCGGTTTATACTAAACCATTTCACTTGAATTGGTTAGACAAAATGTAAACCTAATATACATCTCCATATAAATAAGAACAAATGTAGATGTCAAAAAAAAAAAAAAAAAAAAAAAAAAAAAAAAAAAAAAAAAAAAAAA